CTCTCTGATTCAAATCAAAATTTTTTTAACGAATTCGCCCGAATCAGTCGAATCGAAATTTTTGAATAATTCGCTCATCTCTAAATATTAAAGCATAAAACAGAAATATTAATATTGACAGTGCTTCTGTCACAGAGTTTGCTTTAAGGAAAAAAAAAAAGTTTAAAATCAGTAACGTAACGAAGAAAACACGTGAAATGTTTGTGCGCAAGAAACATGGCCACTTAAAAGCAGATTGCAGGATCTGGAAAGTAGAATACAGAAACAAAATTAAACTACAAAAGACCAAAAGTGTGAAGGGAGAAACGATTTTTCTTCAGATAATGGAATATGATTTTTTCAATCCAAACGTTGCACCTCAACATGGTATGTTGAATTCAAGAGCTGCGAGTCACATGGCAAATGATAGAAATTTCTTTATTCACCTTGGCCAGAGTAATAACAAAAAAATTTACCACAGCTAATAGGAAAATAATGGGAATTAAAAGAAATAGGATACTTTTATTTTACTGTCCTATTTCCCAGAATGTCATCAGAAAAGATACCTATGAAAATGTCCTGTATGTCTCTTCTCTTAAACACGAATCTTTTGTCAGTAAAGAAGCGCACAAAACAGGACAATGTAGTGACTTTCAATGGTGACAGATGTGCCATCACAAAAGGGGATATATCTTACTTGTAAAGCCTATAAAATTACAGATGAACTGTATCAGTGAACTGCAATGAGGTGGTTTAATACTACCAAGGTGGAAAAAGCATTCAAACTGCATTCACACATGGCACAGATGACTTGGGCACAGAAGTCCTGAAATAATAAAGAAATTAACTGAGCATTAACTATGCAATCTATAGAATGAAAATTAGTCCAGTGTGATCAAACAATAAAATGCACCAGCTGTATAAAAGGAAAAAATGGCAAGAAAAGCCCTTTGCAACGCTTAATTCATTCAGATGTTTACAGCCCAATTGAAAATTGATGCCAGGAAAGAAGAGGTATTTTCTTACTTTTATAGATGATCACTCCAGGTAAACTACACTATATCTGTTACATAACAAAAGTGAAGATACCAACAGTATTTGGCTTAATTAAGGAACAAATTTGGCAAAATGCTTGTGCAGTGTGTATTGTACACAGACAATGAGGAACCCTTAATATACAGATGATAACACACAGGCGATTCTCAGAAAGCATGCATAATACAGTATTTCAAAATTACTGTACCATACAACCCAGAACAAAATAGAGTTGCAGAAAAAATGAGCCGTACTCTATGTGAGAGTTGAAGAAACATGCTGTTTGAATGCAGATACATCAAAACCACATACCACATACTGGGGGGAGGCAATTATGACAGCAATGCTGTCTCCAAAATCGACTACTAGGAAAATCAACTGAGAAGACTTCATACAAACTGTGGAATGGAAAGGCCTGAATCAAAGCCTATGTGCACATCCCAAAATAAAAATGTACAAAATGGGGATGCTCACGCAAAAGGCAGGTGTATTTGTGGGGTACAGTGAATCTCAAAAGAGATACAGACTTCTACACCCAGACACAAACAAGGTAACTATCAGTAGAAGTGTAATTGTCAATGAAACTTCAGTATGTTCCAAATTTCAAGTACTAACACAAACGCTTCAAGCTGAGGGAAATTTGCACATCTATGTCACATGAAGATAAGCAACAAAGTGACACAGAAGTAGAAATTAATACAGACAAACCAAATATTGTAAAAAGAAGAAACCAGGCCACAAGAGTCTTCATTCAGGAAATCCGCCAGAGAAGCAATAAAGGCATCCCAGCCAAACGTCTGTCCTATGTTGCTTGCGTAGCATTGAAACCAGAGAGCCAGATTCATGGCATGAGATGCAAAGACTTCCAACCCATGAGAAACAAAATTTGGATCAGATCATTTGACAAAACTGCTTTACAAGAAATAGATTTATTGAACTGAGATCCTAAATGGGACTAATATAAAGAGCAGCCGTTAGAGTAGGGATGTTGAATTACAATGTTCATGTATTTTTGTACAACACCTACATCAGTGTCAGTATTCAGTATAGAAAATATATTCTTCAACTAGTAGAATGACATTGTTTATAATTTGTGTAGCTGCATCTATGGTTAAACTCTATATGTTTTCTCTGTAATAAAGTTCCTGTTTGCAGAGAAGCAGCAGATAAAACACATGTTGAATGTTCATTGTCTGTTCTATCTAGGGCTATATGCAGAACTTCTAAACAGTGACATTATACATACACACACATATAGTATCATAGTTGCCAAACATTTCAAAAAACATATTTTAGGGACACTTTTTTTTTTATTGTATGTCCAGAAAGCCAGTGTAGGTGGAGCAATATGTAAATTAGGGGTGGGGGCATCAATTGTGGGTGTGGCTTGGAGGCAAAAAATATGGCACAAATTAAAAAGTTGAAAGAATTAGTAGAGCCACAGAAAAGAGTCCCCAAAATTTCAACAAATTAATGGATGAGCTTAAAGCTAAGATACCCAAGTGGGACAAAGAGGCTCAGGATAAGAAGCATAGGAAATATATTAGGGTGTGTGCACTGACTTGTGAGTGTCATTTTAAATACTGAATAAATGTTCGTACTGTATGGAGAGCACTATCAGTTCCTATTCTTCTTTCATGGATGAAATAACGCTTCTTATGTGAGTGGAGGATCCATGGAACAGTGGGAGCCATCTCGTGAACAGTGGGAGCAGCTCGTGAAGGGGGCACAAGCGCTTGTGACCCTTGAATAGCCATCAGGATCTAGTCTAGAGGTGAGCATATATTGTTCATGGGAGGTGCATGCATGAGTAGCACTGGTGATCAGTTATAGAAGATATTGGTGCATGGAGACATAGGGACATATGGATAATTTGGTGGTACACGGGGATAATTTTGTGTCAAGCAAGTACTGTTCTCTTGGCAACTGCCAAACCAGGACAAGGCCATTGGACTGCCAGACAGAGAAGCGTGATTGGTCACTCCAGAGAACACGTCTCCACTGCTCTAGAGTCCAGCCGCAGCGTGCTTTACACCACTGTATCCAATGCTTTGCATTTCAGTTGGTGATGTAAGGCTTGCAGCTGCTCAGCCATGGAAACCCATTCCATAAGCCTCTCTACACACTGTTGTTGTGCTAATCTGAAGGACACACCAAGTTTGGAGGTCTTTAGCTATTGACAGTTGGCGACTTCTATACACTGTGTGCTTCAGCATGCGCTGACCCCGCTTTGTCATTTTACGTGGCCTACCACTTCATGGCTGAGTTGCTGTTGTTCCCAGTTGCTTCCACTTTGTTATAATACCATTAACAGTTGACTGTGGAATATTTTGTAGCAAGGAAATTTCAGGGAAGGACTTACTGCAGAGGTGGCAACCTATCACGGTACCACGCTTGAATTCACTGAGCTTCTGAGAGCGACCCATTCTTTCACAAATGTTTGTAGAAGCAGTCTTCATGCCTAGGTGCTTAATTTTTTACACCTGTGGCCATGAGGGTGATTGGAATACCTGAATCCAATTAATTTGGAAGGATCCCCCAATATTTGTGTATATATATATATATATATATATATATATATATATATATACACACACAGTATGTATATATCTGTGTTTGGTCATTGCATATGCAGCTGTTCTTTCCTTTGCAGTGCTGCATGATAGTTGTGTTTTGCTCATTCTCTTTATGCTGCATCTCTACCAGGGTCTGTCGGATTGACAATTGTATATATAATATATAGTGTATTTCACTCTAATCACTCAACCTTACTGATAAACACCTGCCAGGATAATGAGCAGAAAGAATGTAAAGATTGCACAATTTTCTATAAGTCAGACCTGACCCATAAACTTTGAGTGGAGCAGGAGAGCACAATTTGAATGGAGCAGGAAGCATAACATGCATATGTAATGAGCAATTATGTTCACTACAAACTTAAATATAAACAATGTTAGAAGTGAATGTATTTATCCTAAAAACAAAATGTCTACAGTTTCAGTTTAAAACAATATTACATGTAACATGCAAACTATACAGAAAACAAGACAGACACAGCACAGTCTCCTGAGTGCCTCTTATGATTCATATTATTTTTATAAATCTTGGAAACTGGGTCAGCATTTAAGAAAGTCATTCTGAATGGAGGTGACGATTGATCACAAAGCTCAGTTTTGTTTTCCAGCACCTTGTTAGTATAGCTGTAAGTTTTTGGGTCACCATGACATACCGCTCAAATCACCCACCACATATAGGCATAAGCTAAAATTCCAGGTAAATAGTTAACAACTTCTTTTTTAGATGGTTGGTTGAAACTGCTTTATCCTTCAATATCTGTAGCTGGTGGACACCGCTACATAGTTTGTGAGAGTGTTAGGCACTAGGAGTGCATGAAGGGTACTCTTCAAATGTAAGGAGAGAAGGAAAAAGCATGAAAATTAGCAATTTCAGTATCCCTCAATATTGAATGGAAATTATAACTGCTTTTGTTTGATTATATGTCATTTTTTGTGTATTTTTCTGTATATGCAAGGTTTATATTACTGGTTTACATCATTAAATTATTTTCAAAAGTTCTTGTTTTGCTTTATCTTATTGGCTATTTTGCATTAAAGCAAGAAAATGAAAATCCCTGTATTATAATAATGTGCTTTTACTAAACAAGAATGTTGCACATACAAACTACTTACAATTGTAGAAAAATAATACAGGACATAAAGAGTGTGTGACAGACCCAACCAAGACAGGGGATTTTGGGGGGAGAATATGAGCTAGCCTTCTACCCACGGATTATTGCCCATGGAGGATTTTTTCTGCTTCTCCTGGTTAGAGCATGGAGTAGAACTGGGTCCTGAAACCCTTTGACTAGCTGGGAGTATCTACCAGGATTATCTAGCCAGGAAGTCCCCAGAACAGTGGTGTGTCTGTGGAAACATTGTGCGAACAGATTGTGCAGACGCACCTTCACCAGCTGGGGATATCAAACTCTTTTTGGGCATATTTCTTATCTTGCCCCGGTTGGTCGTCAAGAGCTGCATAATGCAACATTTGCCCATTTTGCCCCAGCTACTACCAACTTCATATTAATATTTGTTTTTATTATTTCCCCTGAAGACTTGCCACTTGGTAACCTAGGTCCATGTTGGATCTGGGATGGACATTTAGAAATGAGTGGTGTAATATACTTTATGGAACTGTTTCTGGGCATCCTGGTGGGACACCCTGGCTATTCAAGATTTATTGTGGAAATGTTTTCCAGCACATAGACAAGGGAGGCAGGGTGGGGAATTCCTGTGACTACTAGCCATACTGATAAGACTTGTCTAGGTGCCTAGCTGTTAATTAGAGTAATGTTTAAAGGTTGCTTACTTATCTATGCTAATATCCCCAAGAGGGGAATGATCTCCTTTGGGTATAAAGTATGTGTCTGGGTATTAATAAACAGTTATTCCTTTGGTTTTACCTCAACATTTTTTCTGTGTATGCTGCTTGGGTAAAGGGCTGGTATTAGCTTTCCATCTGCTGGAAGGGTTTGGAGGGCAGGAGGCACTACTTGTTGGAGGCACCCAGTTGGGGTGCCAGGCAGTCCATCACAGAGTATCACAAGCATATATACACATACTAACTAGCCTTTCCTAACAAACATTGCCAATAGTATATATGGAGTAAGGGTACACTAGAAATCACTTCGCTTCTGTTATAGCTGGTTCACAATTCCCTCATTGAACAGGATTCCAGGGCGGTACATCCGAACTTCAGGATTACTATGCCTATAAATAGTTTGTTTGGCAAAGCTGGCCCAAACAAATTATTTCCTTGACTAACTGATGCACCCACTGGGAGTGTTGTATAAACTTTATGTAGCATCCGATACATATGGTATACAGCGCTGTGTTCTGGCAGCAGTTTGGGGATTTCTGTCCCTTTCCCTGAGTGCTGCTCAGCCATTCATAGAAATTAGTGTATTTTATGAATGAATACAAGGCTACCTGTGATTTCCTGAGGTGGAGAGGTGGGTGATGTCACAAGCTCCACCTTAGCCAATCAAAGAAAGCCTCATTCTTTCTTCAAAGTGTATTTAAATCCAGGGTGGAATAGTTACAACCTCTGTCAGGATTTATTGATGTGTTCTTTAGAAATTTGCCTTAGGGCCCGTGTCAGTAAGTTTTGATGGCAAAAGTTTGACCTCAAATTGAGACTTTTCTGAGATCAATCATAATTTATTGACAAGTGTATTTGGCCTGTAATTCACCTCCTGATCTGCATTTTGCCTGCCTGCTTGTACATACATTTTTTTTTTTTTTAGACATGTATGCTATATTGCCAAAAGTATTGGGACACCCCTCCAAATCATTGGATTCAGGTGTTCCAATCACCTCCATGGCCACAAGTATATAAAATCAAGCACCTAGGTATGCAAACTGCTTCTATAAACATTTGTGAAAGAATGGGTCGCTCTCAGGAGCTCAGTGAATTCCAGCGTGACTCCGTGATAGGTTGCCACCTGTGCAATAAGTCCATCCGTGAAATTTCCTTACTACTAAATATTCCACAGTCAACTGTTAGTGGTATTATAACAAAGTGGAAGCAACTGGGAACAACAGCAACTCAGCCACGAAGTGGTAGGCCATGTAAAATGACAGAGCGGGGGTCAGTGCATGCTGAAGCGCACAGAAGTCGCCAACTGTCTGCAGAGTCAATAGCTAAAGACCGCCAAACTTCATGTGGCCTTCAGATTAGCACAACAGTGTGTAGAGAGCTTCATGGAATGGGTTTCCATAGCCGAGCAGCTGCATCCAAGCCTTACATCACCAAGTGCAATGCAAAGCAATGGATGCAGTGGTGTAAAGCACACCGCCACTGGACTCTAGAGCAGCGGAGGTGTGTTCTCTGGAAGTGACCAATCACGCTGCACTGTCTGGGTTTGGCAGTTGCCAGGAGAATGGTATTTGCCTGACTGCATTGTGCCAAGTGTAAAGTTTGGTGGAGAGGGATTATGGTGTGGGGTTGATTTACAGAGGTTAGGCTTTACCTCTTAGTTCCAGTGAAGGGAACTCCAATAAAAGAACAGTATAGTCATCCAATAACAGCAGTATTATACTCCCAATTGTGTCCATGATGGAGTATCCGCTCACCTACGCACATACCATCTATTCTTGTTCAGGGGCTTGTGTGATGTAGGTGAGTGGATACTCCATCACGGCCACAATTGGGTGTATAATACTGCTGTTATTGGATGACTATACTGCTCTTTTATTGGAATAAATCTATATCTTTTACTGGAGCACACTGGTTGGTCATTACAACTACAAGCCTATGTCCTTGAGTGCTGTTCCTCTGGACTTCATTTTCTTTTTTTATTAGGCCTTTTTTTCATTTATTTTCACCTGGTGTTTTGGCCAGTAACACACTTCTTGTCTTATGGTGTTTACACTCTACTGGAGGAGCAAGAGAGACACCTTTGGACAGCACAGTTTGGTATGAGGGTAGTGATGCACTAGCAGTTTTAGATGAACTTGACTAACAAATGGAAGCTGAACTCCAGCTTTTTAAGCAGAAACAGGAACAGCTTTTTTCCCTTTTGGGATAAAGACTTTACATAAATGAATAAAAGCTGATCATTGTCAGCACCCCTGTCAGTGGTATGTGGTTTGTCTCAAACCTCTAGCTGCCACTTTTGCTGGACAGCTTGGTCTGTTAAAAGAAGTTGGAAAACAACAGACTTACTGGCCGTATCATAAAATAAAGGCAAAAAGCCTGAAAAAAGAAAACTAATGCATCCACCACATCTAAGAATTGGTGAGCTGCAAAATAATAAATTATTGTTTTTCAGTTAAATGCAAGGTACAACCATGATGCCCAATTTGTAAACTCATTTTAGTTTAGTGAGTCAAATTGGTGCTACATATGTAGCTAACACCACAGGAAGCCATATGTGCTAATGATTTTAGTAGTGTGATTGAACTACAAACATTCCCCCATTTGCTCCCTATCTCTGCTATGAGTATGGGAGGGTCCCTCCTCTGAGTCACGTCATGTAGTTATTTCGGCATAGCAGCTGTAAGATTTGTTTTTAGAACTTGCAGAAAAGTCACCACCTCTATGGCAGCAAGTGGTAAATAAGTAATTAGTTAAATACAATATTTCATATTCACCTAATTCAAAGAAAATAAAATAAGTTTCACTACCTAATCAATGCTTATACATTTATTTAAAGAGCCATCCTGCTTTTTAATTAACTCTGGTGTTTTAATAAAAGGAAAATGCTGGATGATAAAATGATCATTTCCGATTTTTTTTTCCGGGCATCGGGTGGATCTAAGCAGACGGAGCAGAAGTGTAACGAGGAGTTGAATGGCCAGACTGCCAAATGGTGGCCGTCATGGAGGTGGGGGCTACAGATGGATCCCCCGCATTAAGAATTAAAGTCTTCCAGATGGATTAATAAACTGCCACCTTCTAGCAGTTTAGCTCCAATAAGGATTATACTTCCCGCAAATCGAATCATTTCATGGTACTCTGCGCACCAGACAACAGTTACATACATTATGAAGGGATGCCACATACTGAGAGCAAGGGACTGATGGATGCAGGAAAACGTGTGCAATCCAATTTCATTACTAAGAAACAACAAGCATCAGTATCCCCCAGCATGCACTGGTTTAGTCATAATCTATTTACATTAACTTTTGATGTTTGATTAAATGTAAAGCAATCTCTGTGTGGCTAAATATTGGCTCTGAAGTTGTTGTTCAGGGAAGCTTAGTGATTGCAGTGAAATGAAAAATAGTGATAAAAGGGAGAAAATCTGTATGAAAGTATAGCAATGGAAACATGTTACAGCAAGTACTTAAACCAGAACTCCAGACAATGGATAGAAAAACAGAAGAGTGATGGCAGAAAAAAGGCCAAGTGGTCCATTGAGGCTGCCCAATTTATATATATTTTTATATATATATATATATATATATATATATATATATATACACACACACACACACACACACACACATATATATATATATGTATACACACACACACTATACAGTTGCAAGAAGAAAAAGTATGTGAACCCCTTGGGATTACGTGGAGTTTTGCATGAATTGGGCATAAAATGTGCTCTGAACGTCATCTAAGTCACAACAATAGAAGAACACAGTCTGCTGAACATAATACTACACAAACATTAGATGTTGCCATGGTTTAATTGCACATAACATGTAAACATTCACAGTGCAGGGAGGAAAAAGTATGTGAACCTTTGGACTTAATAACTGGTTGACCCTCCTTTGGCAGCAATAACCTCAACCAAACGTTTCCTGTAGTTGCAGATAAGACCTGCAAAACGATCTGGAGTAATTTTGGACCACTCCTCTTCCCAAAACTGTTTTAGTGTAGCAATATTCTTGGGATGTCTGGTGTGAATCGTTCTCTTAAGGTCATGCCACAGCATTTCAATTGGGTTGAGGTCAGGACTCTGACTGGGCCACTCCAGAAGGCGTATTCTGTGCTGTTGCAGCCCTTGTTTTGTTGAATTACTTGTATGCTTTGGGTCATTGTCCTGTTGCATCACCCATCCTCTGCGGAGCTTCAGTTGGCGAACAGATGGTCGTACGTTTTCCTGCAAAATGTCTTGATAAACTCATTTTCCCATCAATGACAACAATCCGTCCAGGCCTTGAGACAGCAAAGCAGCCCCAAACCATGATGCCCCCTCCGCACATTTTATGCCCAATTCATGCAAAACTCCACGTAATCCCAAGGGGTTCACATACTTCTTCTTGCAACTGTATATGTATATATACTGTATATATAAATGTTTTGTTTGTTTTTTTGCTGCCCTCACTCTTCTATGTTTCTATTCACGACATGGAGTTCTACTTTAAATACTTGTTTAACAAGTTTCCATTACTACTTTTTAATAAAGAGTTTCTAGAGTCTCTCCTTAATCACCATCTTTCACTTCAGTGCAGTCACTAAGTATCCTTGGACAACAACTGTTGAGACAATATTTATTCCTGGAAGTTTTACAATTATACATTACTTTGCATGCATGCTTTTAAAGCTGAAATCCAGTAAATCCAGTCATTCAAAATTCATACAACGTAAATAAGTTTTCACGTTATTGTCATTTCAAAACTTATTTTCAATATTTTTAAATATGCTTTTATGAAACTAATACCTAGTGATCTCGCCATGAAGGTCCCTCTTTAGGCACTTCCTTTTGTAAGGTTACAACCTCTGTCCCTTTCTCCCAATTGTACTCCAGCGATGTCACCTTGTCACTCTGTTAGCTTTACAGTAATTGCTCTCCCATTTGAACATTGTGGTTCCTCTTGCTGGTTTATATGTCACTATAGAACATTACAAGATAGAGAACAATAAAACAATTAATAAAATCAGCATATATACCTGTGAACGTGGAACGAATCTGGGTAGCAAATATAATGTATACTCCTATTACAAAGGATAGTTGCTACCCAGATTTGATCCATGTTCACAGGTATATATGCTGATTTAGTTTTGTTCACCTATTATTCAGATTGGTGGCCCTTGCACTCTAAGGGGAGCATATGCGGCATACATAGGGGGATCAGCCCTACTTCTTTCGTGACAATATTGAAGTGTAAGTAATCTTTATGACATTCTACAGTACAGCCAATCATGAGGATCCCCCTATCTATATTATATTCATTTTATTAAATTCTTATTTTTTAGTTTCACCCTGAGCAGTTCACGTCCACTGCCACCTTGATACCAACTTCATAGTCTGGTCCTTACTTCCCATGGTTATATTTAAGCATTTCTTTCCTTCTTAGTAAGTGCTATTACACTGTTCAACAGGTAAAAAGTTTTGGGCATAAAATTAGCTAATCTTACATAATTTTGGGGTGCTGAAAACGAAAATGACCCTAAAAAATGTTGATTGGCTCTAGTTTCCATTATATATTCCCCCATCTAATGACGTAAGCCATTCAAAATTATGATGCAACTTCAGCTGCATATTGCGCAATTGATACTGGTGACCAATAGAAAATTGCATGTATACTGAGATGATGCAATATTAGCCTTTAATTGCATCACTTCACTGCATAAAAGCTGCAGTATCTGTAGCTGATTGTAGTTCGACAGCGTCTTTACATTTCGTTTTATGCTTATATAGGCTACTCAGTAATGCCTCGAACTTGTGTGAATAAAGCAGATAATTTCTGCTATATCTGCGGTGAAATAACTTTTATCTCACAAAAACGGAGGATAACAGGAATGAATGATTAAGAAAGCCTACAACTTGTATTTTGGCTGCAAGATAGGAGACCAGGACAAGAGCTGGGCACCACATATATGCTGCAATTCTTGTGGGACGGCACTGAAGCAATGGTTGAATGGAAAAAAGGCATCTATGCCTTTCGCTGTGCCAATGATTTGGAGAGAGCCAACAGATCATGTTAGTAATTGTTACTTTTGTATGGTGCCTCCAATTGTAAAAGGGCTAAATAAGAAGAAAAAGTTATCTGTGCACTATCCAAATATTCCATCGGCAATACGTCCAGTTCCTCATGGAGAGGGGCTACCAATTCCTAAAGCACCAGAATCCTTCGTGGTTTAGTCAAGTGAGGAAGAACCTGAAGCGTGTAGTCACGTGCAGTTGTAAGA